CTGCGGCATCGGAGCTGGGAAGGGGGGCACGGGGTAAACATTCTGCGGTGTCAGAGCTGGGAAGGGAACGCTGGGGAACAGACTGTGCCGGCGTGTAGAGCTCTGGATATGTTTGCTTGGAACTAACCCCAATAAACATCTTATTGCCTGCACTTGGGACTTCTGCTTTCTATCTGCATGACAAGAACCAGGGGAGGGGGTGAAACGAAACCCCTTTAACATCACTGTAGATACATACTCAGGATTCCTATATTCCATAATAGAACCAAACAGTTTCCAGAGGCTAAAAGTTCAATTCTTAAATTGGTTTTCATTTGTGCTGGAGAACTAGCAAATGCATTGTATAAATAGATTTCAATAAGACTTTATTTCTAGTTACTGAGTAACTTAATAAGAAAAGAACACACGTTGCCATTGGAAAAAGTCATTTTTTTATATATTGGAAATACACCTTCAGATGTGTCAGAGCTGATGGGAAACCCATGTTGGCCAATCTATTGTAATATTTTCTTTCTAATTATCACTTGAATAGCTTTTTGGCCATCCTTTTTATTTAGATCGTGCCAAAACAAAATTGTTCTCTAATTTGTTAGCCATTCCATGTTTCAGAAGAATGTTTGAGGAGAAACACAACTACTTTAGACTTCTCAACTTTTTCACGAGGAATGAGATACACAAATTAAAAGTGCACATATTTGCTTGCTTATAATTTTCCAAAAGGTAATATAAATGAAAATAAAAAAGTATGGGAGTGTTTGAGGGGGATTGGTGTGACGTGGTAAGGATAATGATATTGAGCAAATATGCTGCATGAATTTTATTTAGCGGTTAAAGTTATTAATTCTTTATTAAGGCTCCAAACCTGATAAATGAAAGTAAATGCAAAGTGATGCCGTAAGGGGTCGGACTCACCCCGCGGCGCCTCCTGCTGGTTATCCTGGGAATTAGCTCAATCCAGCCACCAGAGCGCCCTCTGCAGGCCAGTGATCCGCCTTGTCCCTACTGGCTACCGTGTCCCTCCCAGGACCCCTTGCTCTGGGTGCGGCCCTCTGGCAATACCCACACACTAGATCTCCCCTCCTAGGGGAACCCCTACCCACTAACCCCACCTCGCCTCAGTGTAGGGCCACTGCCAGTCACCAATTAGCCCCGCTCCCTGGGGCAGACTGCAGTATAGGCCACTCATCACAGGCAAGGGGGGTCTGGACCTGCTGCCTTGGCCTACCCCTGGGCTGCCCTCTGCAACCCCCAGTACCTTTGGCCCACTACTAGGCCGCAGCCTGGGGCTTTCCAGGCTGGAGCTCCCCAGCCTTTCCCCAGCCCTGTTCCACTCAGGTACCCTGCCCTAAGCTCCCTGCAGTCCAGCCCTTCTCTCTCTGAGTGCAGCAAGAGACTGCTAAGGGCCTGGCTCCCAGCCTCTTTATACGGCCGGCTGGGCTCTGATTGGGGCGTGGCCCAGCTGCAGCCGCTTCCCCAATCAGCCCAGCTTTTAGAGCTACAGCGTTCAAGCCCTCCCGGGCCACTTTTTAAACCCCTCTGGGCAGGAGCGGTATCCACCCCGCTACAGATGCACATTGGAAAACATAATCCTAGTTCTACATACAAAATGAGGGGGTCTAAATTAGCTGTTACCACTCAAGAAAGAGATCTTGGAGTCATTGTGGATAGTTCTCTGAA